AACATATACCTAAAAAAAAATTAGGGTCTGCAGAGCTTTCATTATTCCAGACTATATGGTTCATTAATTTGGAAAAAACTATTAGCAAGCCAGCCAAATTTGACCACTAGTAATTTATGCTATCCAGTCTGGCTTAATTCAAGTTATATCAGCAAATCATAATCCTTAGGAAACACTAATCATTATTCATCACATTAGCAAAATGAATAAAAGCAATCTTCTAGCATTAGATAAATGCGATTCTTTTCAGCTGCCTTTTGTTTTTAAGGCTGCAGTCAGGATGCAATTCAATCCCTTCTACAGTTTTTCCTGTGAATTTTTCTTGCACAGTTCCACATTAGACTCATTCTCCTTAAAGCCAGCATTAGATATCTCATCTGCTTATCCACGGAAGCACTTGCAGGAGCTATCAAGAGGTTGTCAAGAGGCAGAGGACGTCACAGTCTATAAGGAGCAAAATATTGCTTCCCTTGCAGATGGCACCCAGTTTTATCTCAGCAAAACACCAGCTTCTAATCAATGTTGTTAAGAAATCTTAGAGACCAACAGCCGTATGACTCGAATTTCTGTAAATCTGACACAGTTGGAGGCAAAGCCATAGTGAGAATTAATTTTGCCTGTCATCGTCAGCGTGGGTACAACTAACTGAATAACTGGATACAGATACCTGATATGAAATGCTTTCATAACATCTCTCCTGAAATACTGTGCTCTTAGTACTTCTACCTACATGATATTTTAAAATATAAGGTGCATAAAATATTGACTAGTACTTTAGATGGCATTGAAGGAAACCAAAATCAGCTTAAGACTTACAAAAAAAAGGCAAAAACATCCTGACCATCTCAGTTGGACATGTTGCAGGTGGCCATTGCTAGTCAGGTCCTGGCTATGGGTTACCAATCCTCTGAAACAGCACCAAAGCAATTGAGAGGCATACTTTTGTATCCCTTTTCTATTCTTTCCTATTTGGCTTAGGTAGAATTAACAAGGCAGTGGTCAGGAGCTGTTTAGCATACCCACACTGTGTCAGTCAAAACCCTCCCCTATTAACATCAGTGTCTGGATTCAGCTTTGAGCAATTTTTATTTTATTGAAATTTGCCTTGGGGCAAAATCCAAGCACGTAAAGCGCAAGCCAAATAAATTAATGTTTCAGAATATTCACTATATGAAAATAGCTGGGTTTTATAACAGAAGCTGCTCATCATTTTTGATAATAGGCAAAATTGCTGTCTGAGCTTCAAATGTGTCATTTAAAATTAAATCCATGAAGGTTGTCTCTAGCTTTTTTTCAAAAGTTTTAGAAGTCTGTGAACTTCATCTAGAAGCCTATCAAAAGGAGTGAAATAACTCCAAAGGAGAAAAATACTTTGCTCCTGAAACCCAAGGACAATCTTGCTTATACATATGTAAAGAAAAAAATCAGCTGTTCTTGGTCAGGGGGTGGTTTGGCTCCCTGCACTCAAGTAGATATGTTGAAAGTATAATCCTAACTCTTAGTCAGAATTAGTTAGCAATAACCTCACCAAAGCATCAGGTCTGCAGTGACGTACTCAATTTAAGAGAAGAACGGCATTTTTCTCTAAAGCAGTGACTTAATGTAGACTTCTTTATGGTAATAATTGTGCATGTTTTATTACCCATTTTCATGGCAAATTCAAAAGCTGGGAATTCTTGATTTAAACCAAGCCTATTCTAATCTCATTCAAAAGTTTTTATGTCATTTTGTACAACTTTGGAGGTGGGAGAGTATGAAGATTTACAGCATGACATCCTGCCCCTGCTGCTCTGCTTGGAGCTGACAAACTCTTTATTACCATTACCGTCACTCGGGAAGCAGTGGGAAGGACGTCTCCCTTCCCCAGCTGGATATGCTCTCAGTGCCTCCTATATTACTGCTTGAATTTTGGTCATCTATTTGTTTACCTAAGTCAAAGTATGTTGCTGGTCAAAGTAAAGGCAAACAGCCAAACTGCAGATTTCTACAAAATAATATAAATAATCCTAGTTTTGGATTACTGGAATAATAGTAATATGGTGTAGTAATAATACTAGTATTAAGTATCAGTAATATTGAAAGTAATATTGAAAATTGTATTGAAAGCCAGTGACCTTCAATACAATCCCAGTAAACCCTGTCCTGGAGTACAGTTGCATGTTCATCTTCCTCTCTTTTCTTGGGGAGAAACTCTTAATGTAAACTAGGACAAATATTGGGTTTGCAAAAGATGCAAGCACTAGATCCGTGTGCTTCTTATATATTTAAAAAAGATGGTTCAAATGGCAAAGAATAATTCCTGAACCTCACTGATTTTATTTTTTTTCAAATGGATGAATTTTTTTTTTATTATCAGTTCAAGTTTTACAGAATTAGATAGGTAATTGATAAATAATCGTGCTATTTTATGATTTTGAGTCAAGAACATAAAAAACACATTTGTTGTCAAAGCCAACTACTTATGTTGACCTTGATGGCTCTTCCAAACTAATTTTAATCTTAATACAGCCTGTGATGCTTACTAAAATGATAATAAAACCCAGCACTTTTCTCTCCCCTTTTCATTCTCTCTCTATTACTCCCTTTCCAGTAACACAAGTGAAATACCATGTGTACCTTGCAAAGCCCTTTTTCAGTGGCCCCATGTCTTTTAAGCAATAACTTTGATCTTCATTGCATAGTTTGAAGGTGTTGATTTAACAAACAACATTTTTCATATTGATTGTGCTGACAGGGAACCCTCATTTCTTATCATCTTTACAGTGTGGGCAGCAAATATGGTCTTCTCCCCCTTTTTAGCAGCATATTTGGACTTAGCTTTGTTTAAGAGGTCTGTACCAAAAGTTTATTGTAACAATAACTGAAATGGCACGTGTTCTAAAGCCTATATTGCTGGTTATTTTTACTGTTTATGTTCCTTTAATTTCTATCTAACAGAAAACTCAGTATGTTGCTGTTTTGCCTCACAGCCTCTGGCCAGCCAAAGTGGTTAAACCAGCTGAAATTCATTGATTTTTTAACTGTATTCCCTTGAAATAAAAAGAACGAGTGTGACTAAGGGTTGGAACTCCTAAATGCCAGAGAAGTAGAAACCGACAGCAGATGTCACTCTGTAAAGTAGACCATCTTCAGCAGATGGGCAAATGTGAAATGTAAAGGCTTTTCCTGACATCATTTGGTTTTAATATGATAGAAATAAAATGCCTTGTCAGTAAAATATAACCAGACAGTTGCTTTGTAGTCATTTTGGATACATGGTTGGTAATTCAAAATCCTGCTGCCTTTGCAACATTAATTATTCTGTGCCTCGTTACAGCAAGAATACGTGTCAAACCAGCTGAACGTACCACACGCAGCTGGAGCGACTCAGAAGTATCTGTTCCTCTGCTTACAATTTAACATTAGCAAAAGATAGAATAAAGCAACTTTGTGGGTCATTTCCAGGATGCTAGTTGATGTATCAGGCAAAATTACAGAGATGAGATTTCATCCTATGTTTTGGGGTGTTTTTCCCCCTGCTGTGATGCGTGATGTGCATCTCAGGGTAGAAAAGCAGTTCTGCAGAGCTGAGAGCTGCGAACGTGAACTGCCTCAGGGGAGCTGGGGCTGGGAGCAGTGTGCTTAATGACATATGTTCCCATTAAAATGTGTAAGCTGTTCTCTTGTACAAGTGGTTAACACCTTTTTAATCAGGCCATTTATTTCATTATAAAAATAAGTACCCCGAGTTGGGAAATGATAGTATTTTATAGTCAGCAATTCCCACATCTATGTGTATATATTTCCACATATATATACATTTATATGTTAAAAAAACCCAAAAACAAACCAACTCTATTTACAATTTTCAGTGTGACTGAACATATTTGGAGCACACATAAAGATAACGTACTACTCATAGTACACATAATACATACCCCCACTGTGAGCAGGGCAGTGGTACTCACTCAGTAGTATCCTGATGCCATCAGAGGTGCTGCTTAATTGAGAGCTGCTTCTTTTAAATAGGGAATGTAGCCGATGACTGCTGCTTTGAATCTCACATTTCAGCATAACTTATGAAGTAGAAATTTTGATCTTTGGATCACAGGTTAGGATTTGTCTGTTTCACTGGGTGTTGAATTTTCTGAGATGGATGAATTATCCAGTGTCTGAGGAAAAATAGTATTTTTAAATTACCACTCACGTTGTTTATCATATTTTCTAGGTTGAATTTTTCAATCCCAGTTTTTGTTATTTTGACTGTCCCCTTTATTAATTGTTAAGCTCATCTTTTGTGACAACACCCAGAAGGCACACTTTCATAAATCAAAAGTAAATATATTATCCTACTTTGCAGGGGTGCCATAAGGCTTAATTAGTTCATTTTTGTAAAGTGTTCTGAGATTCCCAGATCAGCATCAAATGTTTATTATTAATTATAGGCTCTAGTGAATGTATTGGGTAATTTCTTAATTTAATTGTCTTCAGGCATCCTTAAAATAACTAATTTTGTAACATCTTTATTCTTTTACATTCATAAAGCACATTTGCTCTGGGCTCGAATGATTCTGTATACATTTTCCTACCACTTACTGTATTTTTAGTTCTGGAAATTGTTTTTATATAGTAATATGAAAAGCAATATTTTACTGTTTTTACTATTAATTCTGCTATATGGATTATTCTTTGATAAGAAGAGCATTTTAAACATTATAAGGTGGGTTTTTTCCTGCAGTGGGGGGTGTTAAGTAATTTACTTGGCTTCCCCTGGGAAATTTGCAGAGATTACACAGCACTGCTGTGATTTATCATTTCTACTTTATTTCTGACTCATAAAGCATGCATTATTTTGTGTTTACCTTCAGCAACAGATCACAGGAAATTTCATCATCAATCAAAGGGCTTTAAAATCCGGAGAATTGATGATGTGACAAAGGCACAGTCCCAACTGTGGTTATTGGAGGATCATTTATTACTTCATTGTGTCGTAACACTTCTCATTTTATTGCTTTTCCCAGGATCAGGTTCATGTCGCTTTAGTTACTCAGATCCCAGCATCACCGTGTCCTACAGTAAGAACAGTTCTGCAGATTGGACTCAGCTGGAGAAAATTAGGTTTGTTACAGCTTTTTAATCATTTTCATGCATTCCGGCTGAGCAGGTGGTGTTTAAACCTGGCTCTTTTAAAACTGGTTTTAATTGTTAACTTTTCAGTTCTCACTGTTCATACATGTTAAAAGATGAGGGGTGAAATTATGGTCACTAAAGCTAATTGCAGAACTGCCACTGGGTTTGGTAAGCCACAATTTCATCCACTGGTTATGTGTAAGGTAAGGAAAGAATTACTTTAGATTTAAAATGTAACTCCAATAACCAGCAGGTTCAGGTGCCTGAAAGACCAAAGCTTTGATGATTTTTGCATTTTAGCACTGTTTTAGTGTTTTATTAGGGCCATAATTTACAATGTTATAAATTTCTATTTTGGTAGGATAAAGTGTTCAATAAAAATAGTTTGTAGTTTGATATGAACACTTGGCTCCTAACACTCTTATAATAACAAGATTATGGTGAATTATGCCTGTTTTTCAACAAACTGGTTTACATGAAAGTGCAAAGGATTATGAATGAAGATTTTAAAATCTTTTATTGAAATATGCACACATTTAAAGAGAGAGTCAGTGTTGGAGATGGATTTTTCTAGGAAAGCAGAACCAACACTTTGCTAAATATTAGGAAAGGTATTTTGTGCATTGGCACATATACATAGTTATACAAGTACAACTGGGGAAGAAAAATGACATTTATACATGATGTCCTCATAGCATCTCAGTATGCCTTCCTGCATTATCTTAGCCTCTGTGCCACACAGGTGATTTCCTTGAGCCTAGTTTCAGTCCACTGAGATAATTTGCAGAGGAAAAGGCTACTTAATTGCTGATGAGTAAGCAAAACTCTAGCTGCAAGGATGTGGGTTTCAGTATCTCATCCTCCCACTCCTTGTGGGAGTGGGATTACAATTTCATTGACAAGGGCACAAATTATGAAAAATTTTAGTAAAACAAATGGTGCTGATTCTTATCTCAGAAAAATATAAAACAAGAATAACTTCACTGCAGCCATTGGAGTTGCCTCAGAGTAACCAGACAATACCTTTTCTGTTAGCTGCTGGAGCTGGCAGTAGAAAATAGGTCAATAGAGCAATGTGGTGCAAAGTGGAGAGGATGAATTATGAAAGGATGCGCATTTCTCCTGTGGTCCATATGAATTACATATTTATTTGAATGTGCTTCAGCAGCTTTTACTTCACTACATGCTACTCCAGGGAATGGTGGGAGAACTGGGGAGAGGTAGGACAGGAGAGCAGCTGTGAAGAGAAGGCGTTGTGCTGGTGAAATTTCAGCTCTGGACTCCCAGGAGGGAGGGGAAGGATCTCTTCAGGAAGGCAGGTGCTGTGCGTGGGCTCAGGGAGAAGCACGGACAACATCTCAGAGCAGTTGCTGTGGCGGGTGACAGACATAACATTTAGCAAGTGCAGGGTGATGTGTGGAGGCAGGTTCTAGGTGTGAATATGGGTCAAATACAGTTGCTTTTTGACATTTCTCTACTCTCTAATGTTTTGCTTTGCAAAGAGAAGTTCCTCTGTTTTCTACTATATAAGCAAGCTATTGGTGCCTCTTTTCCCCAAAGGCTTTAGGTTGTCTCTGACAAACTATTAACCCATCAAAGCATCGCTACCAAGGCAGAGTCAATGTTGAGTAGCTGACATCTTGCAAACCCCAACTTTGTACCACCTTGCAGCCTGAGGTTTGAATGTAGCTAATCCCCTTGCTGGATGCCTAAAAACCAAAAAAATAGTAATTCTCAGCATCCCTTCCTTGCGCACAGAGCTCAGTCCTTTCATTGCCAGTAGCGATGTAAAGACTTTCACCCAGAGCTCAAGGTGAACCTAAGTTCTTTCATAGCTCTGAGAAGCAAAGCTGAAGGCCCTGATTGTGGCCATACTAATACTTCAGGTCTGTCTCTCCTCCTCACACTTTTCATTTTCAGCAGCAAGAGAGAGGACAAGTGCATTGTTTCTTGTGTATTGTTTTTGAAGCAGAACATGAAAAGAAAGGCAACCTGGCCATCCCCATCCACAGAATTAGCCTGACAGCAGGGGTGTGGTATTGGAAGAATACATTTATCAGAGAAATTTCCCAGCTTTGCCCTCTGGCCATTCTGCTCTATCTGGATCCGTGAGTGACTGAGGGCCCAGAATTTGGGAGTTTATTTTGGTAAAAGCTTATTTTTGTAAAGCACTTCCTTAACATTTCCTTTTGGCCATACCTGCAAAATACCTGGCAATGCCCAGTCACCTAGGAGCCATGACCGTCATCGAGTATGAATGCTGCCCTGCTCTTTCTTCCTCCTCTCCAAACATCTGCATTGATCTGTTCTTTATTGCCTTAGTTTGCACTCTCTTTGAAGCAAGGCTGTCTGTTCAGGCTGTATGTGCACTGCCTGGCATGGTGGGACCCTGCCTCAGGGCAAGTATTTTTGATCTCCATAGCAGATTTATTAGCATTCAAGGTATGTCAGCACAACTGTGTCACACCTGGTAAATGTGTTAAATGAGGGAAAAGAGTTCCTGACTACGGCTTAAACTTGGTCTAATTCCATATCATTGTTTTTCAGCGCTCCTTCTAATGTCAGTACAATCATCCACATCTTGTACCTTCCCGAAGATGCTAAAGGGGAGAACATCCATTTTCAGTGGAAGCAGGATTATGTTCATGCTGGTGATGTGTATGAAGCCTGTTGGGCACTGGACAACATCCTGATCATAAATGCTGCTCACAGAAAAGTTGTGTTAGAAGACAACCTTGATCCTGTGGATACTGGCAACTGGCTTTTCTTTCCTGGGGCCACAGTTAAGGTTAGTCTGATTTTCCATGGCTTAACATTATTATTCCTCCTGTACATAGAAGAAGACAGGAACATCTAACCAAACTCTGAATACCATGGTCATGCCATCTAATTCTGGAATTGGGCTCTTTTTTACTTTGTTTTTACCTCTTCTCTGTCCCACTGGGGCTTTCAAGAACAATGCAACTTCTCTGCCGTGACCAAAACCAAGTGACAGTTTATATGGTCATGTCAAAGATCATGTAACAGAAAATGGGAAACAGCTTCCTTTTAGCAAAACAGTGCAATATTTTTGAAACAAATTCAAGTCTCTCTGTTGGATATTTTGAAATCTGTCTGCTTGTTTATCTTGGTGTTGTTCAGCTACCACTATTCACTTCATCTCAAACCATCACAAAAAACTATGGCTTCCTACTTTTTCTGACTGTGAATATTGCATCTCCATTACAGCATGCAATCAGGTAGTGGCTGCTCCTTAAAAGTCTCTTTTTCAGCAAGATCCTATTTTGATATATGAGATCCAGCAAGATCATACAACCTTTGGAAACACTCTAAGGAGTCCTACAAGACCTCTGTCCACAAAGTTCCTTTAAATGCAGAGTTGTTCAACATCTGGAAATCAATTAGATTCTTGCTTTCTATGTTTCCAAGCAGCCAGAAGTTGAACAGCAGATGACTCTCTGTTTTCATCCAATTTTTCATTCACAAAAAAGGCAGTTTTGATGTCAGGGTTCATTTATGATGCTGGTAATGGTTTTGGCAACTGCATAGGAAACAGATGTGTAATACTGAGGGCAGTAAGAGGTTGGTTATGGCCTCATCCTTTTCCCACAGAACCTGATATGAAAGGCTTCAGATTAATCTTTTTAGCAATAAATAATCTACTAATCTACTCATAGTGCCTGCATATTGACTTTTTTTTTACTTCAGTAAGACTACAATGATGAAGTTTTTCAATGGGATTTTAGAATCAAATAATGTCCTGCATATTTAATGAAGTAATTTTCTGTGATCAGTTCACATTTGTTGTGTTGTCAGTCTTATCTCTGGATTTTAAAATCCAGCCCACACATGTGAAGGTGTGACAGCAAAGCGAGGATTAATGTGCCACAGTTGCAGTTGCTTTTCAGTTGGCCAAGCCTAAACGCTCCTTGATCCTCTCAAAACATGCACAAACAGCATCTAAACTCAGCAAGTAAACCTCTTTTTTTGTTGTTGTTGATTTTTTTGTCATTGTTGTTATTGAGGTTTTTTTTTGTTTCTGTTTAGTTAAGCTCAGTCAGTTTGTGTCAATACACAACTATGGTTACCTGAAAGACAAGGGACTTAAACTCAGATATCACTTAGTGCTTCTAGACAGAAATCCCTTACAAGCTCAAACCTTATATGAGATGCAAATGAGTATCCAACAACCTGCCATTCCTCTAAGGCTGTCTTCTGTTTTAAGGACAAGTGAAATGTGCATCTGTCTGTTCCCAGCTGACGTTTGGATATATGTAGCCACTTACACCAGGTTAAGGCAATGTGCAAGGCTGTGGTGTGGCCACACAGGTTGAAGGCTATGGGTGACACAGGGCTTTTATTCTTCACGGATTCCAGTAGTTATTTTAAACATTTTTAGTGTATATCTAGATTGTCACTAGAGCACTCCCATGCTCAAAATGCATTTTTAAGGTTTTTGCCCCAGTTTTCCTCAGATTTTCAGGAATAATCTTGCCAAATATGATTTGAACAGATTTTGCAGTGTGACTTGCATGTCATGTCAGAAATAAAACTATAAATTGGGTCAAGATTTACATCAGATTCAGCATAGACCCTGTCGTAGCATTTGAACACCAAGAACAAATTTTTTGGGAAAGTTTTTGTGCTTTCCAGGATTGGAACGTTGTGTAAAACTTTACAAAAACTTTTAATATTTTATTTAAAATTTTTAGTATAGCTCTAATATTAGTTCATCACAAACACACTATTTTATATAAACAGAAAGATGAGGATCTTTGTACATTATGCTAATGATATTACATCACGTTTTAAATGAAACCACATCAGTCACCTCTGTTTCAAGCAGCATTTCACAGAAGTCAGATAACTTGGCCAGTACAATGGCACAGTGATGGCAGCAATGGAGGCTACAACTTCACAGGATTCTCAATATTGTTAATGCTCTCAGGCTACAAGAGTTCATAGAGACTTGGGGAAGCTTTTAGGAGGATTCTTTATCATAGCCAAAGGCATTGGCATGCAGAATAATGTTGGAGAAACCCTGACAGTTCTACAGGGATAGCTTGCATCAAAGCTAATTCTAGTTCTTTTTCCTACAAGTCCTTTTGCTTCCCAGACATCTAAAACTTGCTAAATAATCCTATATTTGTTCAGAATGTCTGTATAGCAATTTTAAAGTTTTACTGAGATCAGCAAATTTCATTGCTATACTGTGCTACCTTTTTATAACTCTCACCTATGTGCTTTTTAAAGAAGTTCCTGTACTCACTGTCTATCACTATGCCAAACTCCATTTCAAGCTGATGAGATCTTTTCTCTGCCATCCAAACCTGTTTGTGCCATACAAGTTTCAATCCCTGTTCTTCTGTCCTCTATCAATTAGTATTTTTGATAAACTGGTCTTTAAAATCTTTCTTGAAGTTTGTGTTAACTTCTTCACTGACTTCCATCAGTGCTTTTCCTTACGTGTTTCCTTGACTCCAGTCACATTGCTGGATGTTATTTGTTGTCTAACTCAGTTTTGATTAATACATACAAAGCTGTGGGTCAATTCTTTTCCTAAATTGTGCCATAGACATACGTAATTTCATTGGACTGAAGGAATGAAATATTAAGAAAAACAAAATGAAACAAAAAAAGGCCTTTCTAAATTTCTTCTTTTTCCTGGGGTTATTTTCCGTATTCATCCTTTCTTGCTCCCCACTTTTCACCACCTAGAATGACTGACATTGCATATTTCTCAGGTGGAAGGGCAGTGCCAGTCTGAGACAGCTCATCCAGCTGGCAGTCACAACTGAAAGAATAAGAAAAAATACATACTGATTTCTGGTAGAAAAAGGAATAGAAACAGTCTAAGTTTTTACTTTTTCTCTCTTTACTTCTGGACTGCCCCAGCAGGTGTTGCTGAGATTGGTGAACCTTCTCCTTGGAGGCTTTGTGGCACATCCAGGGTAGTGAATGAAGTAAATGGGCACGAAGATGGGCCTATGATCTTGCACACCTTAGTTGTTACCACACCCCTTTGCTTGGTTTTGGCTTGTGCAGCCTCCTAGGCTTTATCTTCAAGGGATGTGCACTCATGGATGGGCCAGGGACTGTTTCCAGTAAGCAGCAGGGATGACACCACTCTTCTGGGAGGAGAGCGTTTGCCCAGCTGGATGCAAACTCTGCTGTGTCATTTGCTGTCAAGGCCAGAGAATTGACCATGGCCTAATCTGGTTACTGTTATGGTCCTAGTATGTTAGAACTGACCACTCCACCCATCCCTTCAGCCATCCCAAAGCTCTTCAGGGAATTCTCATTAAATACCATTTTGTTGCCTTAGTGAGTTACTCTGTTAGTGAAGATAGGCATTAAGATATGATTTTTGGTAGTTCAGAATAAACGTTGCTGTTATTCACATAATTAAATGTGGTTCAACAAGTTCTTTCTCAATACTTGCTCAGGAGGTGGCTTTTAGAATTGCTTGTTATACCTGATACACGCTCTTGTTGGATGCTTATCAAGTTGCAAAGAAACGGTATTTTCTTTCTGCAGAGAGCTTACATTGGTAGTACTTGAGGTCTACAAAAATAAATAGCAAACATTACAATTCCAGAGTTTTGCTGGTAAAACCGCTCAGATTAATAGCTGCTTAGATTGGTAAATTAAAAGGGCAGCTGAAATGAAGAAAAGTACTACCATGAAGTCTACTGTCTAGGTCCTGGGTTAGGTTCTGTGTTGGATTCAGTCACTGGAATGGACAGTGCAAGCATTAATGGTAATTATGCACTGATGTGTTCACTCCAGTTTGCAGGATTTGGAAAGTGTGTTCTCAATAAGCACTCATGGGAATTTACCTGTGCCGAGCTTGGGATGTGGTTTCTCCTCCTCTTCCAGCCTGCTTGAGCTTGGACCAGGAATTTCATTAAGTTTCTTGCTGCGCTCAGGAGCGGTTGCTACTCATTTGAAAGCACATGGCTGGCTGCAGACGCAGCTGGAACTGGCTACTGAGATAGGAAGCAAGCTGAGAGATAAGCCTGAAATCTGTGTGTTTCAGTTCCAAAGAAGACAGCAAAAGACAAGAAAGATACTGTTAGCAAGGCCAAGCCACCCTTAGGAGATTAATTGGATCCACTGGAATGTATTTATCTGTGTTGGACTCTTTGGAAGGGTGTTGAACAGGATAAATTCATGACTGCATTTCAAAATTTCCAGTGACAGCTCTGGGCGTGAGCATGGCCTTGCAAGTGAGCATGGTTTGGATGCTGCACTGGTGGTTGAGATTGCTGAAACGCATGAAGCAGTGCTATGCTCCAGGAGCTGTTAACAGTCCTCAAGACTCCATAGCTAATTGGGGGAAAAGATGAAATCTTCTTCCTTAAGTAATGCTTCTTGGATTTCTACTCCTATAGAACAGACAAGTGATCTTATCTTTCAGTTGGCACTTCATATATCCTCTATATTCGACCAGAAATTGTTATATTTTGAGGTACAACGCTTGCCAAGTTTTTTAGTTTTCTCTGATTGCCCTGGTCCACAATTGGATGTGCAAGCTCAAAAACTGAGGTTCAGAAGGGAGACAACCTCACCAGTCTTATAGTTCATGTCTCTGGAATGCTTTGATTACATAAAAATAGCATTGAGACCAAACACCTATTTCTGTCATTTTTGCATGTCTGGGTAAAAGCTGTATAGAACCGTATAAATCACATCGCACTAGAGCGGCGATGTATTTGGTCATGATGTGTTAACCCAGTCAGATGACCCTTGTCATCTTTGAGAAGAGTCAAGCTACAGAATTGCTGT